TTATTTTGTTTTCAAGTGTCTTACTTTTTAACAGGTTAAAGTGGAACACCATAGACACATTGGTCTCTTACAGTGCCTCCCCATCCCAAAATGGAAATGAAAACATGTTACCATGGATTTTTTCATAGGATTACCAAGGACTAGGTTAAGTCACAATGTTATTTGGGTCATAGTTGACAGATCAAAATAGGCTAATCCTCTCCCTTCACCCCCTCCACTTCCCCCTTCCCTTCCAAAAAATGAAAAGTTTTGATGGCAAACTATTTGGATTCTGCCTCAGAAATCCATCATCTGTGGAATAGCTTCAGGTACCCTTAATCATGTTGGTGCAAACATAGGAGTTAAGTTCTATCATCATTCCAGTTTGGGGTTTCGAGAAGGCTCGGCTCCCTATTCCTGTGTCTATGCTTTCAAATATGCTACATGCTTACAGTTTATATGTAACCACTTCAACAGGTATGGCTACAAGGATGTCCGGAAGGAAAATCACCAAGCATTTGAGCAACTACTGATTGAGAGTCTGGAAAAGTTTATTCGAAGAGAAGCCCAGGAGCGATCATTGGAGAGTGATGGTGAGGAAGACACAGATTCTGAGGGCGATCTCTCTTGCTCGAGAGTTCTTATAGCTCCCAATGGTAGTGTGTATTCACTTGGTGTTCCTCTTCTGGCTGAGTTTAGGGATACAAACCAGCAAATTTCTGAGGCAAGCACCTCTGAGGTGGTGAAGCCAGCATCTCCTGCAGAATCAGCTGTTCCTGATGCAGAGCAGAGTCTTGAGAGGGAACTATCATTTATTCGTAAGGCTAAAGAATCAGGGGTTGTTTATCTTCTTGGTCATGGAGATATTAGGGCCAGGAAGGATTCATGGTTTATCAAGAAGTTGATCATAAACTACTTCTATGCTTTCCTGAGAAAGAACTGTAGGAGAGGAATTGCAAACTTGAGTGTTCCTCACTCACATCTGATGCAGGTCGGAATGACTTACATGGTTTAATGATTGATTTTGTTGGAGTCAGGTTCATTATCCAACGTTGATACTGGCGTTGCAGTTTTTGATACTTCTTTTAGGAGAATCGCAGTCTAAAGAGTGAAGCTATATCTCGAGATCATACCATGAAACTATCCGACAGGCAATGGAAGCTATATCCAGTGATTACAAAGCGCGTCATGTTGAGCCATTTGGATTTGCAAAAGATAGAATCCTTTTTCACCTTGTTGAATAGGAAGTTTTGTTCATGTATTCATTTCCATGTTATGGCCGGTTCCTACCAAATGTGAAGGAGGTTCATCCGAAAGCAATCCCACTTTTTCCTTTTCTATATTTACAAAACTTCCAAAATGATGGAAAAAAGTGAGCTGGCATCGTGTATAGATTAGCAATTCAAACTCTGTTTGTTTCTCTCTCTTGCTCTTTCTCTCTCTCTCTCTCTCTCTCTCTCTCTCTCTCTCTCTGTGTTGTGCTGGATTATTGAGTGTCATTTTAGTTGTGGTCGGTACCTCTGCTGATGAGAAAGAACAAAGATAAGCTTTTCATTATAGCTGTGGACTACTAGAGGTTGTTTTCCTTTTCTGGCTAAGCAAGAAGTGCCTATGGACAACTAGTAATTGTTTTCCTTTCCTGGCTTAGGAAGAACTAATCAGTTTTTCTTTTTTTTTTTTTTTTTTTTTTAAAAAAAAAGTTTAAAGAATTAATTCACCATTATTGCATTAACAAATCAATTATGACTGTTAGTTCTTCCTCGTGATTCATAACAGATAAGCATTTTCATGTGACCATAAGCTAATGATAAATAACCCTTACTCATTATTGGAATGGAAAGATTGCCAAAAAAGAAATAGGATTAATATCTATTGATTTTTAATCTACAGCCGATGCCATTTAACCCTAAATTTCTAAAAAGTTAATGGTTAATATAGTTGCCAATCGTATCCCTGTGTTGTTAAAATTCCTCTTCGAATCCCACTCAAAAACTGTTGATATGATTCCCCTTCTAATCCCACTCAGAAAAAGAAAGTCTTTGAATTTGAGTCTAATAATATTTCATGCTAGTAGTATAATATCAAAAATTATTTGCCAGGTCACGTCAGTGCAAGAGTTTTAAGCTATTATGTTGTTACGATGTATTGACATCACTAGAATCATGTCATGCCAGTTTGTATCCTATCAGATGGTTCATCTTATTAACGTCATGTCATAAACGCACTTTTCTTGGGTTGATAAGTTTGAGGTGGCTGGCAAATTAGTAAATGGGTGACAAAAGGACACATCTGAAGTTGAAGTCTCATCCACATTAAGTAATTTCTCGATAAAATTTTTTTGTACACAAAATAGAATGAAGGATGAGGAATTCATTATAAGAAATCAGAATGTGACCCAACAAATTATTCATATCCAGGGATGCCTAAAAAAGTCAGCAAGAAATGTTTCTGAAAGTAAATTAATCGTCAGGAAATCTTATCTCTACAGTTGCATGTGTAGTTTCCTCAACTATGATCTTTTCTTGATAGAAAGAGTTTATATATCGTGTAATTATGTAAATTCTTCAATCCTTTTGAAAGTACCTGGAAGCAAAGTATGGAGCAGGTCTCTTGATGCTGCTCTCTGTATGTTAGCAAGTCCTACGGCTTTTCATTGCTCTAAAAGCACCATAGAAAAATGAAAGATCGGGGCTTCTTTTGGACTTGATCCCTTTTTATCTACTGCCAGAAGTTGATAACCTTTTATAATCTCTCTTTCTCATTATTATGCCCCTTTCCATCTGGGGTCTGAAAAAGGGTGCTTTGTTGTCTCTTTGCTATCCAAATGAACATCAGAGTTCGAACAGGTTTTTGTAGAAGATGAATCCCCATATATTTGTTCCTGTTTGGATGAAAATTTTATTCTTAGAAGTAATGAATTGGCCATCACCCCGATAGAACTCAGACCCATGAGGGCTCCAGCAATTGATGGAGTCAGCATGGTCCCAGTCACTGGCAGCAACACTCCAGCAGCAATTGGAATTCCAACCTGAATATATATAAAACATACACAATATGATTTTTGCATTACTCGATGTGTTCTGGTCATCGGAGAAATATGAATTTTTTTGATTTTGTAAGGGTGCTACTAACAAGCACATATCAGGAATCAAGTAATACAAGAGATTGCTAAGAATTAGGAGGAAAGATTAATCCCTCCAAACCCATGCTTATAACAAATCGGAAAGCGGAAAACAAAGGTAAAAAAGGAAAACAAAAGATAACATTGCACAAAACATTATGAAATCACATGGCAATTGAGACTGCATTCAAAAGAGGTATCCTCGGAAAACCTAGATTGGTATTTGAATAACCACCAATAGATGCCCTGACATTTTATGTTGGACAAGAACTATTATATTAACGAAGTTTTAGAAATTCCAAGCTATAGTACTTTAGATTCTCCAATCTCCAGTTCCAAAATTCTTCCCCTCTCCCCACTCACACTCCAATTGGCTGCAGAACTATACTAACCTATTTCTTGAATGAATTTTCTTCAGATTTATGCTCTTTTTATTTTACAAAAGCATCCTTTCCATGCATAGCGATTATTTCGTATTATAGATTCACTAAGAGCTATAATATTTGAATGGTAGTAATTACTTACAATATTGTATCCAAAAGCCCACCAAAGGTTTTGCTTCACAGTCTTCATGGTTAGCCGGCCGAGTTCCATTGCATCAAGCAACTGCATAACAGTATCTGTGTTAATTTCTCAAAGTATACTATAAAATTCCAGAGCTACAGGGAAAATATTTCTCACATGAAAGCTATATTAGAGTTGCGCACATGCCTCTTATGATAAAATACAGGATTAGGACTGGAATTTAAGACTTCATTTAGTACATGAATTATGTTTTTAGCTTTCATATTCTTTGTATATATACACTATGTATACATCTGTCAAAAATAAAAGCATATCTGTATAAACGAAAAACAATTCTCTAGAAATTATGGAGGAATTTTTATTATTTCCAATCACATGCCTTATTTTTACTTTCACATTCTGAATATTATTTTTATCTTCAACTATCATACATTTTTTGTTTGAAACTCAAGTTGTGTCTTCCGGTTCTATTGTTTATTTTTTATGACAAGTGATTTGAAATAAATTTGCTGTACACTGAACTAGCTTGGTACTAAAGTGAGTGAAATGTGATGACATTTCTTCTTTATCTACAATTAATGATAAACTGAAACTCTGTTTTTACCATTTTTTGACTCAAAAGAAAGCTGTAACCTTACCAGTATCTGGATGCTATCTAGTTTGATGCAAACGACATGTCATTTATTATGTAAGCCACTGTAAGCAAAAGCTTCTCCTTAATAGTTTTCTTGTTTATCTGCAGCTAACGTTGTGAAACTCTATTTCCACCAATTTTTTTGGCTCAAAAGAAAGGTGTAATCTCACTACTATGTCAATGCTACTTATAAGGTTTGCTGGTTCTAGATTGGGATAAGGCTGAGAAAGTGTCTTCATTGATGTTTCAAACCCCAGAACCTGCAAAGACATGCAGTTAATTATGTATGCTGCTGTAAGCACCACTTCTTTTTAATAGGTTTGGGGAATATTTTGGTCAAAAAAGGGACTGGAGTCGTGTTTAGTAGATAACCGTTCTTCCTCTCTGCTACTCTATTTTGTTCTAGAG